GACGCAGTTTTTGACGGGCTTTAATCTGGTATAAAATAGTTGATTATATCATTGATTCATTATGTCGCTAAGGGGGGGCGTAAAGGTTTTTTAACACCCTATATGTTTAATGAAGACAAAGTAAGTTGAATTAAGACTCTGAAGGTTTGCATAAGTTAGTGTTAGAAATTAATAACATACGCTATATAGTCGAATAAAATTTTATACAGGTGAAGATAATTCTCAAGGGGCGAACTGTTAGTTTATTTTATTTTTCTCCATTTTAATTTGTTATTTCAATCCACTTGTGATTATTATACTTTGTCTTCATTAAATATATTAAAGAAAGAAAACAAACTAAAAAATGGTAGTTCGATCGTTTACTATCGTTACAAACGTAGTTAGGTTCATATTAAAAAAAGAAAAATCCTATAACAAATAAATCACTGATTGAAATAGAAACAAAAATTCACTTTCTCGGTTTTTAGAAAACAACTTATTTGTTTGCTTGTATTTTTCAGATTAGAGTAAGGCGCACGTAATTCAAAATTACAACACTATTTTCTTTTTTGACTTTTTTATACACGGTTGGATAGAGCTTTTGCAGGGTCAAAAATAATACGGGGAGATTTTATTGAAATTTTGTTTCGTTGCTGAGAAAATTCATTTTTACTAAATCAAAGACGAAAAAGTCAGGATTCTGCTAGTAATTCTCGATTTCCTCAATCAGAACTCAACTTTCATGTAATAGAAATATCATATTCGGAATCAGGATCAAAAGCTGAGTGATATTTCTATTACATGAAAGTTGAGTTCTGATTTTTTGAACTAATTTTTTCTTATTCGTCATCAAAAACTGAGTCTAGAAACATATGCTTGAGAGTTTTTAAGTATAACGAGATCATTGAATTTTTTTTGCTTTAGGCACATGCCATTTAGTCGTTCGATATTGCACAAACTTTTCTAGTATTTTTCCTCTGAATACGAAGCTGATTTTTTTATTTCGTTCTAACTCTCAGATAGCCAGAAATAAGTGATACAAGGTAAGTGAATAGTCAGTTGCTGATGGGCATCCTTCATCAGCTGCGTGATCATTGATTGTTATGACGTTGTCAGTTTGTTCGTGGTGGTAGCGGTCCGGTGGCGAACGCATTTTTAGAGGTGGCGATGCTGAAGTTTTGTTGGATAGATGAGTGGGTTTGTAGGCTGTAGCGGTTGTTGCGGGTTTTGAGAGGATGTTGCTTGAGGAGGCATAGACTTTTGTTCAGTTGGATTGACGTTAATAAGTGGGTGTGAGTGTGTCTTTTATTCATTGACCGATACATCGAAGAAGCCATTTGCAATAAAAAAAAGCATTTTTTGCTTTTTAAGATTTTTTTCCGATTTTTGTACGCTTAAGTGTAGCAAACCTGCATTCTACTGCTAAAGTCTAATCTGTAAAGTGGAACAGTTTATTCTATTTTTTAAGTTTTAAAAATTTCGGTATATTTTGTAGTTTTGAAGTGCCCAAAGTTTTTACAGGTAAAATGATTAATATCTGTCGAAGTCTATTGATAAGAAAAATGTTAATCAGAACATGTGCTGGTGTCTACGATTAATGAATCTGTTAAACAGCATTTTTAATAAATAAAGCATTTTCGAATGTAAAATTATAGTAATAAAAGGGCTTCATGTTCGTTTTTTGAGTAAAAATACTAATTAGTGGAGGACATTTTTATTTTTATTTTTACGATCGGTCAGCCGGACAGAGAATTGCCACCAATCACAATCCACAACAATACTATTATTCGTATTTATTAATAACTTCGAATTACGCGCATTTATAATTATTCTGACCACAGTATCATTCTGACATGATACTTTCTTTGAAGAAAAGATTATGGACTAGCATCAAATAAAACATAACTAACATGATTGAGAAAATACGTAGTAGCTTTCTGGTGTTGCATAAGTCTAGTGCTTTATTCCATGGCTCGTTCATAATATTCATCACCATATCGTTCTCCTTCATATCTCTCAAATTGAATCGCTGATGATCATGTTATTGCTTTCAGAGACTAATATGTGGCCATTAGAGTATAGTGTATCGTTTTAATCCTTTTCTTATTTATTCACTTGTATTTTGTTTAATATCAAGTTTTAGATAGATTTTTACATAGTGTAACTAGAAACATGAGTTGAATGGTAACCAAAGTAAAGATCTGCAATCCAACTCGGTCCTAGGCTTGGGTTCGTTTTTGTTCGGATTCAGATGACGTCTTATTAATCCGTGTATGTTTCTAGCTACAAATAAGGCATCGAACAAAACTAGATTATGATAAAGAAACATAGAGTGATTCTTTCGAGAGCGTACCAGACTTTACATTGACTTTATCTGGATTGTTCGAGTGTAACAGGACTAGTACAACTTGGGCACCTGGTGACGAATATTAAGTTTAAAAAAATTTAATCCAAATTTAGTCCAAAATGTTAAGTACGCTCTCAGGGAAATTTTAAAAAAAATCGTTTTTTCCGAAAAATCATATTTTAATAACCTTTTTTCTAAATCATATTTTCCCCATAAAATCATATCAACACAAGACCGCAAGATATGCATTCGCCGCGTATTTTCAAGCTCTATTCGATGAAGTGGTTTTCACTGAGACTAAAAAACATTCAATTCTTTCAGAAAAGCGTGTTTTTCAGCAGAAATTCCACAGGATTTTTGTCTATTTCGAAAGTGCTTGGCCAAAGATGAAAACCTTTTTTTCTACTAGCCCACGTCGAGTACATGCGAGATATATGTCATCCCACATCCTGTAACCCCGTGGAATGGTGTGACACGTACTCAAACTTTGAAAAACGAGGAAAATCGCCTTTTAAAAATTTATTTTTTCTATCATTGAATGTTTTTTAATCTCAGTGAAAACCACTTCATCGGATAGAGCTTGAAAAGACGCGTCGATTGCATATCTTGCGGTCTTGTGTTGACATGATTTTATGGGGAAAATATGTTTTACAAAAAAGGTCTACTTTTAGGAAAAAACGATTTTTTTTTTAAATTTCCCTGAGAGCGTACTTAACATTTTGGAACTTTGTGGTCGTTAGTGATTTTGTAGCTCTATACATATAGAATCTAATCTGACTGTACCAGCTCATGAAAGTGTTTCGCTAAAAAATGGTGAAAATGCCTATAAAAAGATTATTCTGCTGGTAAATGGAATTTCCACAGGTCTAGAAGACCACCATGGCGTTGTTTTAAGTTTTTTTAAACGTAATATTCGTCACCAGGAGCCCAGGTTGTACTAGTCCTGTTACTCTCGAACAATCCGGATAAAGTCGATGTAAACGTGGTACCTTTCCGAAAGAATCACCCCATACCGTACTGTTCTTTGTTTCATCCTATCTTCTGCGCCTCTTTCCACTTGCTTTTTAAGAGCTATTATTTTAAACCTTCAGACAAATTCTAGTTTCTCTTGGATGCGTGCATCAAAGCATCTCTGTTTGCCTGCTGATGTGTACACATAAATAGTTAGCAGAAGATAGTGTGAGTGCTAGAATGGTACTGAAAAAAATACCAAAGCTAAATATACGAGATATCTTGTTAATTACAGTGGCGTACATTCATACGAATTAGTTTGTTCAAAATCATCTTCTTCTTCACTGTCACCGTCGGTACTATTTGATCGCAAGAAATATTTGTCATTATAAAATGATGCTCGCTTGTATTGTGGTAATATTTGACTATTCACATCATCATCAATCATCTTTTTAGTGTTTAGACGTTCTTGTATATTTGGATCATTGAAATACGTTCTTACATCAACACGATTATACGTCGACTCTCTCGATGTTTGTGCAGATGACAAACCATTTCGATACTTGATAAGCGTTGGTTTCTTACTATTATTATTTTGTTCTGAGGTAGATAGTGACACTTTTATAGGCGTAGATGCTAGAGATATTGTAGGTGCTGTTCGTTTCAGTATTGATTTAGTAGTTGGACGACTATTCCACATCTTTTGTGTTAACAATGGAGGTGTAATAACGGATGACATGACAGAATTTCGTCTTGATATGTCATCTGGTGATAATGGTAATGTTTGAACAAATAGCGATGAACTCCCATTTTGTCGGTAAATAATTGATTTGATACTTGATCGAAACATTTGAATATTATCATTACACCATCTTAGTTGTGCTTGATATCGTTCTAGTGTGTCTTGTTGTTCAATAATGTATAGATCCAGATCACTGTGTTTATCTAGTTCAATGAATGTATAGTGTTTCATATCGAATGCAATTATTCGTGCATGTGTCGCTTCACAACGATGAACAGTACTACGTCGAAATGGATAGCAAATGTTGTTATTAGTATCGTTACCCTCTAATAGACGACTAGTAATCAGTTCTGTTATAAATGGATATTGATTTGAGCATTTACTCAATACTTCGGCCGTAAATAGACTATGGGTAATGTTTGAGGAGGAAGATTTATTCAGTGATAGAAATATATTAGCTGCAGATGATCGACGAGGTGTGACTGGTGGAGGTTGATGAATATGTGTGATAACAGGTACAAATGCGCCTATTTGATCCATTTTAATTAAAAATAATTCACCAGAATGTTGACATTTTACTTCTAGATAATTATAATGAATCTTACGGTGTGTTAAATGTTTATTAATTGATTGAGGTATATTTGAAAATAGTGTTCGAATCGTTGCAGTCGTTAAATGGTGTATTGGTGATGGTGATTTAATAAGATGACTACGAGGTGAAGAATGATTGCTATTGTTCTGATTATTGGATATTAACCGTGGTCTACATTGTTCAAGTATGGTACCTGGTCGAAGATGTTTAGAATTCGAATAATTAGTATTTACATCAACATCAATTAGATTGAAGTTATAGGCGATACATGGTTGTAATGTTGTAAAATGAGTGATATTAGTCGATGATGAATGAGATGAAGAAGACGAATCAGAATAGTTGAAAGATGAGCTTGAAGAATATGACGTCTGTGATGAACTCGGAGAAGAAATTAAGGCAGTGGCTGTTGTGGAATGTGTTGATGTTAAGATTGTTTGAATAGTTCGAATAGACTGAAATATACTATAACGTGTTACACCTCGCTCAACTTGAGCGAATAAACCTAGAACAACGAATAATAATGTTTTCTCAAGAAACAATAATACCAAAGGAACCGATTCAATGATTCTTTTTAGTAAAAGCAACAGATTGAGATGTTAAAATCCTGATGGAAAATTTTATTGGAAATGATTCATGTTATTTGATGGATGATTTTATTCGTTATTTCATTCGTATGTGATGATAGACACGTACATCTTGTATCAGTTAATAGTATGTCTAATAATAAAGGAAGTAATAAAGTAGATTGGAAACTGATAGATAGATTTAGTATAAATGTTATTTATGTTGTCGGAACAATAAGGGAAAAGAATAGAACGAAAAAACATACACCTTTTTATCTTCTATAACCGCGGAAGTGTTTAACACGGATAGGTTCGACAAGTATGCCAAAATAAAGTGAGCATATGGGACATTTGAACATGTCAATACATAACAATAGTCTGTTAGTCTAATCGATGATCCACTGAATAGTATTCCTCAGATTCTCAATACTAGAATAAAAAATTTTCTAGTTTTTTTCACTGGGTTAATAGTTCATTGGAGAAGACTACGTTACTACACATGTATACACTAATCAAAATTGTGTGTTTATGTGGATTATTTGAGCCATGTACAATCAAGTCACAAAAACAAATCTGAATGAGACGCAATTTAATCTATTGTGCTTAAAACATTATTTATTTTTTTATTTAATATTCGATGTTAAGTAAGCACAATGCAAAATTAAAGCAAAATTTTATTTTTGAACTTATTATACATCTTTGGATAGACCATTTAGAACGTATTAAGAGAATGTAACATACGATGTAAAAGTAATGGTGTAAATATCGAGTATTATTTCACCATGTTCCCGATGGGCAGGAGAGTTAATTAATTTTCCGTTGGAAAGAGCAAAGTCTGATCGTCGTAAAACATAGAAAACAAATATTTTTCTGATTAAGTTTGGGTGAGAAAAAAATCTAAATAGAAAACGTCGCTAAAAAAGTTCTTGCAACCTTCGCTCTCTTCAAACGAGTTTCTCTCACCAAGCACATTTTTTTCCTATAATAGAATATGTTTTCTAAATCAGAAGCGAAAAAGTCGGAATTCTGCTAGTAATTCTCAATTTTCTCAATCAGAACTCCACTCTTAAGCAACAAAAATATCATATTCAGAATCAGAATCAAGAACTGACTCAATTAATCTGTATTTCGAAATTTTTAGCTGATTTTCAATTTTGCGATGAGAATCTCGGTAATTTTTCAACGTGAAACCTCAACAAAATTTAAGGTAGTCAGATAGAATAGAAATACAGATTAGTTGAGTCAGTTTTTGATCTTGATTCTGAATATGATATTTTTATTGCTTACAGTTGAGTTCTGATTGAAAAAATTGAGAATTACGGACAGAATTCCGACTTTTTTGTTTCTGATTTAGAAAAAATGACTTTTGTCTGGAACTCAGATATTCAGCATTTTTTGAACTTCACGTATTTTCCATTTTTTACCCTGTCAAAGAACTTTTTTTAAGTTAAAAAATACATTTTCTTGATAAGCTCGAAATGCTCTATCCAGTGATGTATAATAAGTTGAAAAATAAAATTTTGCGTTAATTTTGCATTGCGCGCACCTTATTACTCACCATCATTTGAAGTTGGTACAGCAAATCGTTCTGTTTCATTTGAAACAACTAAATAGGGATCACATGTTTCAGTTAATAATAAATAATAATTATCATTATCAAATGTTGCATTTTTTGAGTACAATCGAACTAAACACGGGAATGTATATTGATTACATATTGCATCAAGCGTATGTAATTCAACGTCTAATTGAACATCAGAATTTGTGTCGGATCGAACAACGGCCCATTTGAGCATTTTTTCTTGTGGAATATAAGCGGAACAAATGGGAAAAAGAAGTTGACAGAAGAAAAGGAAAGAATGGTACTTGTGGTAGTGGTGTTAGAACTTTATCTTTATACACGAAATCGGAATAGTTAAAGTAACTGTCAATATGTATATATATGGTGCTATTCATTTGATCTGTACACATACACATACGGATTCATATAGTAAAATATAAAAACAACAACCAAACAAAAAATGAAGAAGAATAAAAGAAAAGTGATGATAAATAAGTGTCGATGAGAATTGAAAGATTAAAAATGTAACAAAATGGTGGTTCCGAGCACTTCTATATAGATTGTACAAATTTCTTGGCTTTTTTGTCTTCATTTAGTCGCACTATACTTTCTCTTTCTTTTCATTTTTTGGGAAGTTACGTAGTCTATATTTTCTTTTTTCCTCCTATTATTGTATTACCTTAACCAAAAAAAGAAGAAAAATCTTTGATGAATGAATGACGAAATATATATCGTTCTCTATTAACCTTCGTTCTATCTGATGCAGACAATAAACTCATTTTTTTTCTTTTTGAACAGCACCAACTGTTTTGTAGTTGTATATCGTAAGCAAAAGACATGAATATTCTTGATTCTTGTTTTCATTACTTCATCCAAACTAAATATTTGAGAACAATGAAATGTTAGGATGAAAAAGAAATTTATTCATCGATTCCACTTTGAATGTCAGTGCACACACACACACAAACACGCACCAATAAGAAAGAAAATTATTTTTGACGAGATTAACTTTAAAAAAAAAACCATAATTTGTTCATTCTTTTTTCTATTTTTTTTACCATATATAAAATAAATATAAAATAGTCTTTAAATTTTCTTTTGTTAAAAAAAATGGATTTTTAATATTTCAATAATATTCTTTATATCAAATTGACCTGGTGCCATCATTTTTCCGTAATAATGAAATATTAATTGAGAATGATACCTACGCTAACATTATACGACTACAATAGATACATTAAATCGTATTTTGTCTGACCTTCAATTTTTATCATGTACACGAAATGCGAATAGGAAGAACCTTGATAAAAAAACATAATATAATTCACGCCCAGTGGATATTTAGTCGTGATAAACGATTTTCTTGAAGTTTTCATTAAACAGTACCTTGATTTTTGTGTAATTGGATATTAAATAGTGAGAAAGTTCAGTGGCACAAAAATTAGTCTGATGCATATAAATTTCGATTAGAACTAATTAAATTTGTTTGACTATATCTAAGAGCAAAACAGGTATCTCTGAGGCCGTTTTTTGAATTTTAACTCATTGTAATTTGTCGTAGGATGTAAACTAGCACCTGCTTTCAGTCCTTGGCGTCATTATTAATTCAAAAACACAATAGCAGAAAAACATATGTCACTAAGGTTGGTATGAACTTGAGATGATCTCAAAGATTTGCACGCTTTCAGCATCAATCTAAAGTCAACGAGACCTTCATATCAGGCTAACCAGACATCCATGTATTTATCTTTAATATTTTATTAATCATACACAAATCAAACCTCAAACGTTTTTTTATTGAATACGAATGTGATCTGACTCTAGCCATTTGATCGCAGATAATTACTAACCAAGACAAACGGTCAACAAACTTTAACTTTCCAAATAAGCGTTTCATTTTTCTTCCAAAGTATTAGCATTTGATATAGCAAAAAAATCTGTTTATTGAATGCAAATTTCACATTGTTTTCACTTTTCGTTAAGTAGCAGTGGAAAAAACCAAAATTTAAAATATCTTTTGAAGTATTTCGAATTCTATTTCTGACTTTTCAATACTATAACATTTACTGATAGCATTTTCACGTGCATTTTCACTTAAAGTGCGAAATATCTTTTGTATCGAAGATATGAGTGAAGTTTGAAAAATCCGAAACAGTACCTGTCATATAATAACAAATTACTTTTTTTTTGACAGTTTTTAACGCACTGTTCGTGATGAGATTGACTGTATATACACTAAACTTTTATAACAATTCGAGAGAAAAAGTTTTCGAATCCTCTTGAGGAACAGAATCATAGTGAACGCTATTAACTTTTCTGCAATATTTACGTAGGTAACACAATATAAAATATAGAAAATTGTTCTACAGGAGAAATATATTACTTTGTGAATTGTTTTCAAAATTGTTGATAATCGACTAGAATTTATTACAATTTCTCAAATAATTTAACAGCTAACTTAAAATCATATCAAAATATTTTTTCTCTAAACAATGTATGATTGATAGCGTTTTCGTGTTCTTAGAATACCTTGGGAAAAAAAGTCAGACGAAAATTAACAAATTGATTTTGAGCTAATCCATCTTACAAGAACATTTTTTTTGTCTTGTGGAGGTATTATACAGTAGTGTGCAAAATTATATGTCGTTTTTCATCAATCGAGGAATAATTATTCACACGCCAAATATTTTCATGGAAATAATTTAGCATCCTATCCATCGATAGAGAAAATAATTATAATTATTTACCTTACATTCTCAGTGACAAAGACAGTGGTATTTTTTGGTGAAAAACGAATATCTACAATGATACTTTAGCAATGGTGCTCAATTTTAGATAATGGCTCTTGTTGACTTTGCGGTGCGTGCGGAAAAATCTGAAGTATTCAACATAAGACGGGCCCCTAGCGCTTTAAAGACCGGTTTTCTGCAAAATCAGTTTTTCAGAAACTCTAATAAATAACCAACATCTTTCTTAACCAGGCATGGTTGTAGCCCGCATATTTTTCTTTTAGCTCTACACGACTTTTCTTTGTGAAATTATAGAATTTATAAGAAAAGCCTTAAATGTTCATTGTCAGCTCAAAGCTACAGAAATAAGAAGAAATGAATTTAGGGCTTTTCTTGTGAATTCTCGAACTTTGCAAAGAAAGGTCATGTAGAGCCGGGAGATGTCTCATTTTAATTAGAAATTTCCGGGCTACAATCATGCCTGGTTAAGGAGGATTTTGTTTATTTTTTAGAGTTTCTGAAAAACTGGTTTTACGGAAAGTCGGTCTCTAAAGGACTAGCGGTCCATCTCATGTTGATTTTTGGAATCAGCACAGTCGATTACCTATAAAACACTAGGTTTGGTTAAAAAATCGATTGAACAGTTGGATATGTTTCCTCGTTAGTATGCGTATTAGAGATATACAGGACGCTCTCGCCCTAGTCGGTGCTCAACAAACAGCTACTTTGCATATTTTTAATGCTTATTTCATAGGTCGACTTTATATCAAAGATTTTTTACTCTTTCCACGTTCGCTGTTTTTTCTTAGTCGTTGTACTGTTTGTATTTCGGTTTTCTTTTCGGAGTAGAGAATGAACAAATTCTTGTCTGATAATATATCGAATAAGACTTCTAGCGTAAAATACTGACGAATTATTTGCCAGTGTCCCACATAAAAACCAATTGATATTTGCCGAATGCTATCAGATGACATCCTAACCATTGTTCTGCACTCTTTAAAACTTTAAATGAGATCAAAACTACGATTTTATTTTCAGTAAATACTATAACACCTAAAAAACGTATCATATTTGTGATACACTTAACCTTATTACGTGCAATATATTTTGTTGAAATTCTAAAGGAAATTTCTTGACGATCTTTTCAAGCTAATATGACAAAAGGTTTTATCAATTAAATAAAACAGATTTTATGCCAAAAGCCAAACATTTCTAAAGAATCTTATAAAATAAAATCCAGAGACAAATATGCATTTATATGCACAGAGTATCAATCTGTTAGTTGCAGAAGAATAACTTTAGAAAATTTGAAACAGGTTAAAGCTAATTTAAATGTTTTGGCAGTTCCACCAGTAAGGCACAGCATTTTGTCGATGATAGGGTTTTTAAACGTCGAATATCTCAAATTGTGTCAGAGAATTTTGGAATATTTCAAAAAATGGAAACAATCGCTAAATATAGAGTAATTAAGACTTTTTAGTCAGAAGTAAAAAAGCCAACAATCGAGATTTTTATAGATGAAAAAAAGAATCAAAGTTGTCTAAAAACCTGGGATTAAACTACGCTACCCATTTCTTTCTTGATTTTTTGTACATCTATCGTTGAGGCCTTCAACAAAACGCCTCCATTTCTCTCGTATAATAAAAAAACATCAGAATTCTGATTCTAAGGAAAATTTAATAATGTATAAACTTATTCAAATCTATAACACAAGAAACATCGAATATCGATTCATGATGATCAATCATTGAACAAAAGATTAATTTGATATGACACAATTCTATACTAAAAATTGTCTCAAACGAAAGCGTTTTAATTCTTTATCGAATATCTTACCCAGTTTGACTTCCAATGTGGGCAGGTGACTAGATTTAGTTCAACTCAAACAGGAAGTGAACAAAAATAGATCTCTAATATATAATTATGTGTTGTGTTACTTTAGATTGATGAGCACATATTCATCTGCATATATAAAAAAACAAAATGTTCTGCACAAACACATAAATTAAATATAAAAAGTAAAAAACTCTAGTGAAAACACCTATTCATTAGTTAGAATTAAGGAATTTGTTGTGTTTGTTTCTCATATATAAGTATATATATTTTCAGTTATTGTTCATTTTCTATTGAAATGAATATAATATTTTTGTCAAAATATTTACTCAGAAACTAATGAGAATTATGCACGGTAGGAGTGGAATAACCACTAAATAATATGAAAAATAAGTTTAAAGCATCAGTTAAAATAAATTTATCTCTAACCGGACATGATAGCATGATTTTTCAGACAGAATTTAGAGAATTTTATTGTCTGAGATCATCAAAATTTATTTATCTCTAAACAATAAACTGCCTTTTATAAGGTATTCTACTGAACAATTTGGGTTTGTAACAGTTTCGTTTTTTTTGTTTTTCAAAAAAATCTTTACGGATAAACTAAAGTCTAACTTAAAACTTCGAATTGATAATCGAGTAGATTAAACACTTTTCTACAAAATGAGAAGCG